TAGTGTTCTTAGCTGCGAGGATCTTATAATTTCATCTCTCCACCGCAGTGCAAAGATGTGAATTTTCATATATCTAAAATAGACTATAATCTCTTCCATGTGCCCATTTAATTATATGGGTGGCCCAGTCCCACGCGGTAGCTAATTAAATCATTTCAGTTTAATGTCCCTATGCACTATGCCTGCACGTTTTAATTGCTTTCATTCAAAGTTTTATGCGGCTATTTTCTTTGAAGTTTCATAAATCCTTCTTGTAAACAAAATGAATTGAAAATTATCCATTCAATTCAGTTGCACAGTAATCTTTAATTCAATTAAAACCGAGTAAAGTCAAAATATTTTTTTTAACGTTTTGATAAAAACAAGAAATGAATCCTGGAGTGACGAACTAACTCACGATATTTATACAGAGGATTGCCTTTACAATAGGCGGCCGTGATTTTTAGGAGTGCATTTAGGGTATCTGAGCAACATTTCCAAAGAAAATTATGAGCTAGTATTGAGGTTCAAAACGTCCTAAAGCCCTCTGATTTTACAATTTCCACGGGAAGGGGGGAGGGGTGAGACTTAGCCAAGCAGACTCCAAAAAATAAAATAATAAAAAAAAATAATAAAAAATCTTGACCAGTTTTAAGTTTATGGATCCGCGTGCAATTTTGGGGAAGTATTTTACTGAAAGCAATGAAGTACTGTGCAATGTTTGCATAGCCTCATCTTTTCTAATCCGAGGGATCGAAAAACCCTGTTGTGCACACCCACTACTGCGTCCAGGGTTTTCATAACTGCATAGAATCCTGCCAACCCTGTCCTGCTTGGATGGGACTATTTAAACAGGGGAAAAGTCCTCTTTTACGTAAATGCTGTCTACATATCATTGATTGTTAAGATATACATTTTAACACTTTTTCTTGATATAATTTCTTGTTTTGTTTTGTTTTGTTTTCCTTTTTAACAATTACCCTACACTTTTTTTTTTGGGTACTCAATTATTTTTCCTTTCTTCAACCCAAAAGATTAACAGTCAAAATTTTTATTAAGATATTAATTCAAAAATTGATTATTTTCTCTCCTTAGGTATGGAAAAAAATTACTGCAAGGGAGGAATTTGCTCTGAAAGCTTTTTAATTAAGAATGACTTATCTTGTGTGATCGGTAAAAAAACTGTGTTAAAATGAATACATGTAATTCAGTTAAAGAGCTTCACCCTTAAACTCACACAAGTGATTAACATGTTATTTCTCACTTTGGTATCCACACATTGTGCAATAAACAGGTTATGAGAATACTCTGCTCTATCAGATATAATTTGTTATTGTCAGATAACACCAAAGTCTCGTAACTGATATTCAAGGATATTCAACTTCCGATGGTCTACGATGAAAATAGAAAACACATCTATGCAAGGTTGGAATGAACCCACTTCTCGAAGATCTTGCTTGAATGGTCGGGAACGTTATAATCTCATGCATGTGCCAATTCAATCACGTGGGTGGCCCACTCTCACCCGGAAGCTAATTAAATCATTTCGGTTCAATGTTCCTAAACACTATGCCTGCACATTTTGAATTGCTCTTATGGAAAGCTTTATGAAGCTATTTTGTTTCAGGTTTCTTAAGTTTTTCTTGTAACCTTAATGAACTGCAAATTGTCCATTCACTTCAGTTGCACAGTAATCTTTAATTCAGTTAGAACCAAGTAAAGTCAAAATATTTTTTCAACGTTTTGATTAAAAAGAAATGAATCCTGGAGTGACGAACTAACTCATGATATTTATACAGAGGAATACCTTTAAAATATGCAGCCGTGATTTTAAGAAGTGCCTGTAAGATATCTGAGCAACATTTCCAAAGAAAATTATGACCTAATATTGTGGCTCAAAACGTCTTAAAGCCCTCTTATTTAAACATTTCCACGGGAAGGGGGAAGGGGGGACTTAAACAAAACACATAGCTCTGTAGAGAAATTAGCCCAGCAGA